TGACTATTTTAGAAGTCCTACGTATGAGCGGTCGAGGCGCGAGCGCACAATTTAGATTCGGCCATCGCAAGCCGGGATCAACTACGCCTCTGTTGTTCGAACTAACGGATAAACATCTTAAAGATTGTGAACGTATGTACGTTTCCTCATTTTCGCCTCATAATCTCGGAAAAAAGTTTACATCTTTTCGCGTGCTCAATTTATTTGTTATTACATCCATAAAACACGTTCTAAAATCAACATTCGTTGCACCGCGCATATTTCTTGATTTTTTAATTTCATCTTAATTATCATAATTAAAAGGAAGAAATTGTCTTTATAACGCTTCCCTTTCCCAGGAGATCGTAATAAACTTGTGACAACTCTCACCGTAAAGCGATCTTTTACGGCTAGAAATACGGGAGAGCTGCCGATCGAAATATATGGTTTCTACATCAATGATTGGCATTGCGAGGGCTACGGCTTCAAGGTACTCGATTGTACACCTTTCAAATTGAGTCCGAATGCCACTAAAAGAATTGAGATAGCATTCACTCCGGACTTCACGTTGTCGCGCGTGGAACGAAAGCTGCTGGTAATGACGAGTATGGGACCGGATACCGGCGAGAATGTTGAAAACGGCGTGGTGATACTTAATCTGTTAGCGACTTTACCAGCACACGCGTTAAATTTGTGCGCGTCTGTGCTCGCTAGACCGCCGTGGGAAGGCGCGGTACAGAAAGCGGCTCTTATCCTCTCGTCGGTACTGATGCTATGCGTCGCCGTGGTCTCGTTCCTTGAAGCGGATCGAATACTACGGGAGGGCCTGGCCAATTACTCGAAGGAGAATTCCGTGCAACCGCCTCTGGATCTAAGGCTACTGTCACATATCTCGAGCAATACGCAAGGAAATAGTGGTGGCAGCAGTTGTGTCACTAATAAAAATGATAAAACCGTGACAAACGACGAGAAAAGCAAGACAAAAAAAGATGAGGTGTTCCCAGATTGGTCGTTAATGAACGTAAAAAAATACAAGGACAAAGATGTGCAGAAAGGATTGAAGATCCCAGATTGGTCTGCTGAAGAAGAACGTAAATTCAAATTGGACACTGAATCCAAGGATCTGTTATCATTTAAGCGATTCGAAGAATTGTCTAACGTAGATAACGCCGCAAATATGACAAATATGTTTGTATCAAAGAAAAAGAATAATAAGAAACAAAATAACATTCAAGAGACTCAGTCGGACAATTGTATAATAAATGATGTACTCACAGACACTCAATTGATTCAAGAGAAAAAGTATATTGTCAATACAGGTACAAAATCGAGTCCGACGTCAAATAGAAAAGGAAAAACGCAATCGACGCAATTGAGTATTAAGGACGAGCCAAAATTTAATGATCATGAGATTCAAATGGATGCGATGATAATTAATAACAATCGGGCTAACAAGTCTGACAATAAGCGCAATAAACTGACAAATAGCAATGGAAGTAACAGTAATAATCACAATAATCACGTTCCGTTAAAAAAGCTCGAACCAGCGAGCACTCCAAAGATAATTCATCTTTCGGAAGAAGAAACTTCATCTACGACCACGGAGAGTTCGACTCACGATGAAACGATATTGTGTAAAGTAAGTTCTAGATCAGTGTTGTTCATAGTCGAATCTTATATTTAAGACCGTCTTAGGATGAAGTCATGAATCAATCAAATAACGATATTATGACTTTTTATTTTTAAACATATTTTATTTGAACACATTTTTTATTTTAAAAAATCTTATGTCGATACTGGAATAATTATAAAAATCTAATATCTGTAAATTAAATTGAAAAGTTTACAAAAAAATTATTGCTAAAGTCACTTTATTTACAATGAAATTGTTGCCGCAAAATTAAGATACTGATCATTACTAGATTATATTGAACAAATATAAGTTCTCTTTAGTACATCTATAAAAAGATTTTTCTTCCATAATTTATTCTCAGAGTTTTGATCAACCGTGCGGGAAACAAGAGAAGTTGCAAAGAAAACCGGTATCTAAAAAAAGTAAACCTCAATCTATTCCTCCTGTGCCATGCATAGATTATAAGGATAATTATGAAGGTGACTGTGATGATGATGAGTACGATAAGGAGAAGCAGAATAATCCAAATAGATGGAAGACGAACACTACTAGATCCAACACAAAACATATTCATACTTCACGTACTGTCGAATCATCCTTTAAGTTATCACGTCAAAATAAGAATCCACCACGAAAGGAGAAGACTGTGCAGAAACGACGTGTAGCTGACAAAATACACATTAAATGTATGTATTCATATCATCTATCATAATAGAACAAAAATACTAGCTAAAATAATAGAGGTATATCCTGTGTAACTATCTGGGATGGATTTCGATTGGAATTATTCAATTATTCTCTATATTATTGTTGCATTTTCTGGGCAAATGGAATAATTTCGATTAGTTCCGTAATACGTATTCTGTATAGATAAAAATATTCATTTTCATTCATTGCAGCTCCTCCTATAAATGGAAATGTAAGTCAAAAAGAGGATGTAACACGTATCATAGGAACAATGCCCACCCCCTTACCACCTCCGCCCTCCTGTTGGGGCGAAAACAGGGCCAAGTTCAGCGACGTAGTGGCGCGAAGTCAAGAGATTGTCTCATCGTTTTCCAATTTAAATCACATGAATCACAAAAGTCAAACGAACACGTCAAATCTGTCCACGATATTTAATACTGATGTTAAGGACGTTCAGTGTGCTAAATCTCAATTGGCGCAAGAGTCGTCGCAAACACTAAAGGAATATAGTTTGATGTCAAATCCAGTCCTTCTCTGTAGTACAACCGTGAATAATAAATCACTCGAGCCAGATCCTTCGATTTTGCAGTCCAAATCGCAACATTCGAATAGTTATTTCATCAATACTTTTACAGAACATCCAGTAAGTCGCAGTTTGAATTAATTTTATCGAATATCATGTGATGAAACTCTCAATTGTCAAATTATCAGCAGTTTGAATGTGAGCTGGTGCCGTACGACGATCTTCCAGAAACAGATGAACCGTTAGTAGAATTGGAGACTCCCGAAGAAGACACACGGTGCCAATTGTGGGAAAACACTAGTCCTATGATAAATTTATTATCTGAGAGTACAAACGGATTTCAGTTAGAGTCACCGAAAACTCCGGAGAAACTTGTTTTGTCTGACTTGAAAGGTATATTAGCTATCTATTTAGAAAAAAATTAAGAATTAGAAGCAGAATTAGAAGCGTCACTTTATAAAAGTAACGCGTTATCGTTTTTTATAAAATAAATAATTTATTATCTTTTTTGTAATGCTAAACTAAATTTAAAAATTACATTATTTAATAATGAATATTAAATCTTGAAACTCTAAATTAATTTCTATAATAAGCTTTCCTTTATATTAAACTTACATAATAATTCATATAATTCTTTAGCTTAATGTTTTTAGTTTTGAATGTATTTATCTTCATAGGAATTTAGATTGTTTTCACGAACGTTATCTATATACTTAAGTAATTTATATACTTACAGATAATTGGACAGTCGATACGAATTGGGAACCATTACACACTAGGGCAGCAGTCGGAGAGGAACGTGGCGTATGGGGAATTAATACAGGAGGTGTATGGGCTGCAGCACCCTGGGGTGCGGCTGCGCCTCCCATGATGTCGCAAACATTACAATCTGAGGCGGACACACAAGTATGTGATTAACGAGTATAAGGGACCACACACTTTCCATAACAGTAATTATAAGACATACTGTAAGAATTAGTCAATCACAGGCAAGAATTTTCAAAAATTTTCAACTCTGATTGGCTGACTCTTACGGTACGTCTCACAATTGCTGTTGGAAAGTGTATGCGGATTCAATAAAAAAAAATCTTGATTTTCACGTAACTATAATTATTTTCAATTATCATTTCAGGAAAGATCGGGATTTGATCCGTTCCGTTCGCTCAACACAATATGGACTCCATCATCGACGGAATCGTGGAAAACGAGGCGCGAAAATTAATGACTTGAAATTTTGAAGGTTTTATTTTGTGAGATATATATATATATATATATCTTATATTTGCTTCATAATTTTTTGATGAAAGATAATAACGACGGTCTTAATGGCTGCGAAATAATTGCCGCGACCGCGATAATATATTTGATGAATCGGAAATTGTTATGTTTTGTTGCTACTGCGCTGAGCGTACTTTGTGATATAATTGTTACTATTATGTTGTACAATAGTAACACAGGTGAATAGTCTCTCAAACAAATTATTTGCAGTCTCTTAAACCAAAATCTAGATATTATTAATACTTATTTTCTATTTCGTTATTTAAAGCAACTGATATGAGATACTTTAAATTATTTACTAATAAGATATTTCGTGCAGGATAATCGAATATCTTGTTTTGTTGTTTTTTTGGTTTGTTATAAAAAGAGTGAATACATGATCGATTACATTGAAATGAAAATAGATATGGAATTTTACATACGGATATGGAATATACAAGATCGATAAGAAAAAGTTAAAAAAAGAAATACAGTTTCATATTATAATCGCAGCACACATTAATTTAAAGGAAACTATATCATTATACATTACTTCTACAGAAATTTATAATTTGCTCCTTGACATACAATACACCCTTCTCTTCTCTTATGATATTGCTCGTATATGAATGTAATGGATACTATGTCTATGATATAGTGCAAGGGAAAAAATGAAAGGAAAAGAGAATCGTCACAATATTCAAGAGTTCCCGATTTTTTATATTAATCATGAGTGATAATTAAGTTATTTGAGATGAGTGAGAACTGTGATTTTTTATAGTCTTGTAGAGATAGCTTCAAGCAAATTTTCAAGAGACGAGTTTACAAGATTGCGCCGTATACACAAAATGTGAAATTAAAGAAATGTGTACCTATTCTTCAAGACTGGTAATCGTTGTGTTTTAATAAAGAAGTCACAAAAAAGCATAATGTTTTGTATTCGAGAAAGTACGAACTTTACAGAGGATTTTTCTTTATTGAGTCGAAATTCATTGTAAGTTGTTTCAAAACTGACATTTACATAAATATTATATTTAAAGCTCCCAACTAGTCTCCGTGATCATATTGAATTGTGAGAGCATAAGAAATGAGACGTTGAAGTTTCTTGCATAATTATCTGCCCTCCTCCTCCCCCGAATCAGTAAATAGTCGTAAAAGGCACATAAAATAAAAACAGATTTAAAATCTTACACGTATTTTTACTTCTTTTGTCTTTTACACTTATTTACTATCATGAGAGACATAGCTTGGGCTCATTTTTATAAGTATTTTAAAGCGATCTCATTATCTTGTTTCACTCAAACTCTTTATTTACAAATGGCATGTAAGAAATTTCAATGTCATTTCTCGCTTATGACAGCACGATCTAATAGAGCTGCGGCGACCACTTAGGAGTCATACTAAAAAATAATAAGGCCTAACTTCTTGATTTATACTCCAATTTTTTCTTTACAGTAGCAGTTGATTATCTTAGTCCGCTGATGTGGTTGATTTTGTTTCATAACGAGAAACAAAATCCTTTTCAACATTATAAAAATTCTACAAAAAGGTCAATCTACAACCTATTTTCGATGTATTTGCGAAAACGCAAGATTTCGCCTGTTGTATCCTTCTGAGGAGTAGCTGCAAATGAAGTTTTCACATTATGCACTGCACAGCTATTATATTCAATTTACAAGAACGAAGAAAAGATACAGAAACACATATCCATCTATCTACTTTATACTTTGTATCTGTGATATTGAAATTACATACCATGTTATCATTTTCTATCTTCTTTTGCAACTTCTTCCTATTTATCGCGGAACTACTAGTCCTAGATTGAATGGTATCCTCGCCAAGGATTTTGTGCCGAGGTTTCTGTTGTGCCATAATCTTCCTCAGCAGTAGCTCATTCTCCCGCTCGATCTTACGCATTTCCTCGTCGGTGAAGCTCATGTTCCACCGTCTGCACTTCCTTGACTTGGTAAACCTATCTCTATCTGCTGTGGTAGCGCGAAGCAATTCATCACTGGACAAATAAGACTCATCCTGGCAATTGTCTTTCCAGCTTGACTCACTAACTCCAATTTCCTTCGAACTCTGGCTGAGCGGGAGATCAGTGACATGAATCAGAGACGAAGTATTCAGCGATCCTGACGTGACATTTGTAACTTCATCGCAGGACTCGTCGGAGCAGAAAGACTCGTCTATATACACGGATTCGTTGTCTGATATATCCTTAGTCTTCACAACTTCATCACCTTCATCCGAAACAAAAAGACCTAACTGGTCTAAAGCTATCATTTCTTCGGTCTCGCTCTCTGCCTCATCGATCTCGTGAATATTCGGGATGTTATTGTCTTTCGTCTCTTGCGGATCTTCTTCAAGAGCATATCGACATTCGCAGATGGTGTTTGTTTTATTCTGCTTCGCCATAGCGAGATGATTATCGAAGGAGACAGAGTGAGATCAGCAAGGAATGTGAAGTTTCCAGTGATGACTGCGCGATGAAACAAAATGTGACTCACATGGCTCGAATAAAACCTGAGTCAAATGGTAACTATGCCGACCGAACAGTCAACAAAAGTTTCATGCTTGATACACTCGAGAATTCTAATCAATAAATCGATTCCGAATATAATCGATAGGATAACGTATAAAGTTCAGCTGAAATGTGCAGCCTATTTTTTTGTATTGATATTTTCAGAAATTTAATGAAATGTTCCATAAATTAAAGTATTTCTTTCCAAATTCATTTTTCACATATATCTTATCAAATTTAAATTATAATATCTTATCAAATCATAATAAATTCATCAATCTTTTATATTCACATTTACAGAAAAATTTTCTATTTTTATGTTTGCATTTATAATCACTCTTAATATTTTTAATACAGTTCAGTTTTTATATCACATATCGTAATCTCCATTATGAGATAATGATAATGAAGTATTACTTAAGTTTACTTATAAAATATTGTGTTTTATACTTATGAAATATGATATTTCTCGAAAGCAACACGGACTCAAAACAAAAGATACAAAAATGAAATTCAATCATTTGCAAAACCAAATACCTTTAAACTACCGGCATCGCGTTTCCGATCGTAAGAGTCCTTATCGTCACACGCATAAGCTAAGAGATATTGTTTTGGATGCCATGCAACAGTGAATGTCGCTGCTTCTACTGGAACATCAGCAATCTTCTCGCCAGTCTGCACTTCGCCAATGTCTATGACTAAGTCTTCAGAAGCCGCTGCCAGGAGTTGTCCGTCATATGAGAAGGAGATAGTTCTAACTGGCCACTCTAGCCGTGAGAATGTCCTCAAACAACACAACTCGTCGGCATCCCACAGAGAGACCAGTGCATCCGCGGATCCAGTGGCAAAATACCGACCAGTTGGGTCAAACTCAATGCAGATACAAGTACCTGGATGCGCCTTGATCACATGCAATAACTCTAGCTCGGGATAGCTAAGTATATGCACGCAACCCTGGCCGTTTGTCAGGTAAAACGTATCTGAATCCTTATTCCACGAGATCTCGTTTACCTCGAAGTTAAACTGTTCTTCCGCACGTATTTTCATCACTCGGGCATCGATGAACGTGACTAAGTCTTCCTTGTTTCCTACAGCAATCGTGTTACCATCTGGCGACCATGATATATTAATATTTTCTCCTCTAGTGCTAATATTCGCTGTACACTTTTGTGTTCTCGTATCCCAGATGCGAACTGTCTTGTCTCCACTTGCAGTAGATAATAATTCTGGACAAAAAGCATGCCAGCATAACTGGTCTACGCTACCGCCATGTCCTCTGAAAGTCGTTTCCTGCTTCTGAATTAAAAAAAAAAAGTATTTTAAAAACTTCATAATCAAAATCATGATTAGAATCACGTTAATATTAAAAATATAATTATTATAATTAATACTAAAAAATTAAAGGTTTTAGATGACTTTATTTCAAACAATAAAGTAAATTATTTTCTAACTTGAAAATTTTTAATATTTAAAATGCAATTTTTTAAAAGGTATTCAAATTCAAACAGATACAATTTTAAAGAAAAATAAAAGATATTTTGATGTGTTACTTGATTCTTGTTTCCATTTCAAACTTTTTTAAGAATAACTACGCCAAAGGAAGGAAATAAAAGCAGTACTATTGAACTTATTATAGTTATATGGCTCTCTTAAAACAACAATGTTTAACATTTTCTTTTACAAATCAGAGGGAATCGTCTAAAAAGAGCAGCTATAATATCATCTGATACCATTGGATCATCCTAATATATATTGTTATATATATTAATATTCACAGTTCTCTACTGTAATTATCGATTTTACAGATAAATAATTAATGAGAGAAAAATAAAATACTGCGTTAAGTTGTATAGAAAATATTGGAAAGTTTTCATTTTATAGGGAAACAAATCGCGCCGCATGAAAGAAATCGTTATAGGTTATGATTACTAACCAAACGATCCGGGCACAGCGAGAATATGCAAACAGACTTGTCGAACGAACCCGAAGCTAAGTATTTGCCGTCGCAACTCCATCCTACGCTGTGCACCTTCGCCGAATGGCTCTGTTGTTCTCGAATTTTATTGTGTGACTTAAAATAATTAATTAGCTCCTCCACACGCGAAGTACTAACGGCCATCGTTATCCGAATTACGAGGGATTACAAATCACATACCACACAATCATCATTTACAAAAGATCACGAACTTCCATTGACTTAAGTCTGTTCTTTTTAGCTAAAGTCCAGTTAAAAAGAACAGGCCTTTTGATCCCTTTTACACTGAACATCGATACGCGTACCAACCTAATCTAACTAGTAACTTTCTATTAAATAATCTCAATTCAGACATTTATTTAAAGACTGATGTTCTAAATTAATACAATATGCATAAAAATGATTAATTAAATACATATATCACGTATATGTTTACACATATCGCCGAAATTAAGATAATTCAATAGAAAGTTACTAGTATCAAGTGCACGATATAAACTAGGCTCTCGATCGAGGCTGCGTTCGCTTTGACGCCACGACGCCTGAATTGTCCTTGTTTAATTTTAATGAGCAACAAGGATGAAATGACGCTTAAAGCCCATTCTACAATAGTCGTAAGCGTAGTTGTAAGCGTAGTTGCAAGAATTAACTAATTACAGTCAAATATTCTCTTCATATTCGCTTATAACAACGCTTACGACTATTGTAGAATAGGCTTTAAGCGTCGTGAGCGTCAAAGCGAACACAGCCAAATACATCAATAAGCGAGCGAACGTTCTAACCTTACTTGAAACGTGAATTGCACAAATATGCAGGGATACAACATTAGAGGTGGACGATGAGAACCTGAGCGGGTATCCGATCCGAAGAAAGAAATTTAAAGAGTTCTTATCCGTGTCCGTTCGTCGACGGACAGACATCGTAAATCAGACGGTCACAAATTAATACAAGTAAATAATTATCACGGAATAGCAATGGGTGTACCGACCGGTAAAAACGTCGAGGCGATGGACGTGGACGTGAATCCGTCGGACCCGCAGAACACAAACGGCGATGGTGATGGCGCGGGTGAACGCAGGGACACCGATATGCAGACTTTGTGCGACATTCGGGAGCACACGCAGAACAAGGAGCCACGTTTCGTCCTCCGTGCCCTTCGTGCCTTACCCAACACCCGTCGTCGTCTCAATCCGGTGGTGCTGCGCGGCCTCGTCACGGGCTTCTACACCAAGTCCGCTGTCGAGCGGGACACCCTGCTCGCTTGGGTAGAGGAACCGATGGACGTGGACGACTGCCAGGCCATCACCCAGAAGTTTCGTAGTTCCTCGGCATCTCTGTTACCCGAGATCGACGGGTATATTCATTTGCTGGTGTTGATTCGACTAATCGACACCAGCAAATACAATGAGGCGGTACAGTGCTCGGAGCAGCTGGTCCAGAAGATTGCCGCACAGAATCGTAGGACCATAGATCTGATCGCTGCCAAATGCTACTTCTATCACTCGCGTGCTTACGAGCTTACGGATCAGCTGGACAAGATTCGTGGCTTTCTACATCTTCGTCTGCGTACTGCAACTTTACGCAACGATTTCGAGGGTCAGGCAGTGCTGATCAATTGCCTGTTGCGCAACTATCTGCATTACAATCTCTATGATCAAGCAGACAAGCTGGTACTCAAGTCGACTTTTCCTGAATCGGCTAGCAACAACGAGTGGGCTCGCTTCCTCTATTATCTCGGCAGGATAAAGGCTGCCAGATTGGAGTACTCGGCCGCTCACAAATATCTAGTACAGGCAATGCGCAAAGCGCCGCAGACTACGGCGGTTGGATTTAGACAAACTGTACAGAAGTTGGCGGTCGCTGTGGAGCTTCTGCTTGGCGATATCCCAGAGAGACAGATATTTCGGCAGGCTGCTCTACGGAGAGCCCTTGCCCCGTACTTTCAATTGACACAGGCGGTACGTTTGGGTAATTTGCAACGTTTCGGTGAAGTTCTGGAAAACTTTGGCCCGCAGTTCCGCGCGGATCATACATTCACGCTGATCCTGCGGCTGCGGCACAACGTTATCAAGACCGCGATCCGTTCGATTGGACTTTCCTATTCGCGTATTTCGCCAACTGACATCGCTCGCAAACTAGGATTGGACTCTAGCGTGGATGCAGAGTTTATCGTGGCTAAGGCGATTCGTGACGGTGTTATTGAGGCCACCTTGGATCCAGAGAATGGTTATATGCGTAGCAAGGAGACCACGGATATTTACTGCACCAAGGAACCACTGTTGGCCTTCCATCAAAGAATCACCTTCTGCCTGGACTTGCACAATCAGAGTGTAAAAGCGATGCGTTACCCACCGAAATCTTATGGGAAGGATTTGGAGTCCGCGGCAGAACAACAGGATCTTGAGCTGGCCAAAGAGATGGCCGAGGAAGATGACGATGGTTTCCCTTGAATCCTTCGAATTCACGTCTGCTCATCTTAGACAAAGTGGAAGATTGGCGTTTCTAGAGAAGATATTAGAAGACGTGCTTTTCTAAAAAGAAACATTTAATTGAACTAACATTGAATTAATTAACTTAAAGATCGTGACGTTTATACTCTCTATGCATTTTCGTGCATGCTTTGTAAATGTCAATAATATATATGACTTAAGATATAATGTCAAGCATATGTAATACATATACGGAATGATAACGTTGCAATCAATTTAATAAAGTAAATCCTTCATTTAAATTATTATATCAACAATCTTACTTCGACCAATAATTGTAATAAATTCTGAATAATTAGATAATATATATAAAAACGAAAGAAGGAAAGGAATGGCACTAGTTTGACATATTTTCAATTTTGTGACATCTTCAAGTCACTTTCTATAATTTTTATATATATATCAATAAAAATCATTTATGTTGATAAATGAGAAGTTGTATAATTTATTTTTTTTAAACTTGAAGCCTGATTGCCAACATTACTTTGACTTTAAGTGAGACTTAAAACTCTCTCTTTTTAAAGTTGAGAGAGGAGAAAGTTTTAAGCCTCGCTTGAAGTTAAAATACATTGATATGCACCTTAAAAGATTAAAAAGTAACTAAAAAGCCATTCAAAAATTAGCCAATTTGCTTATAGCGAAATCTTGATTAGACGCACTCTGCATATTAAAGCCGTCGTACACAAAATAACATAAAGATATGTTTATAAATGTTTATAAACATGGAAATTGATTAAATCGTGAAAATCCAATGCTTTTTATTGTACTATTAAGTAAAATATATATTTCATAATTCGAAGTACTTGCATTTCATTTTTATATTCAAATTAAATCAGTGTACAACAGATTTAATATGCACTAGTGTTTCCAATCGAATTCGCCATTAAATTTTAATTGGTCGCTTAATAGGGAATTTTATGAACTTGTAAAGCATTGTAAAGTTTATTTGACGCATGAGTCGCCAATCTATGTTACCACAATATTACCGTCTGTCAGATGAGTTGTCATTTATTTGACTTATAAATAATCATTTTCCGTTACATACGTATGGTATTTAATGTCATAGCGACGTACTACGCAAGACAGACCAATATTGTCTCACGTGGATATGTCATTTCTTATCTTTACAAGTACCTGAGTGTAATAACATCATGGCGAGTATCATCGAGGAAATATCTCAATCCATGAATAACAGAGGTAACCTTCTTCTTCCTATAATGTATATTGATTATGAATCACACAATCAACTGTTGAAAAACAATCACAACTGCAGAGTGATTAACTGCAGAAATACTCTTCACGAATACTGTTACTTCAGGATATGCAGCTCCAAAGACATCGATATCCTACGAGGAGATAGCAACGAAACTTCTCAACGAGAAGCTTTTCTTGACGGCTTTGGAACTGCATGCTGAATTATGCGAAGCTGGCAAGGAGCTGCCCGTCCTTAAGGAATTCTTCTCAAATCCAAACAATTTCGAGAGCTCCAATATCAAACCAGAGCCATATACTTCAATGCGTATGTATCTTGTTTTTCACAAAATCAGACTTTGTCAGAACTTTAAGGTGTGACAAACAAGGCAATTGCCTTGTACAAAAAATTTAAAAATAATTTTAATTTACAAACTAATATGGAATTTTTATATTATGCTTATATTTTTATTCTTAAAATCTATCCTTAAATTGTATCTGTAAATTATAAACTTTGCTTATGTTACTTTTTTGCTTTCTACTTCTATTTATTATATTTCATATTGTATGTACTTTTGACATCAGACTATCATTTTAATACTGATTGTCTTTAGTTTAATCTTTGATAATACAGTTTTATTGCTTAATGATAAACAGATTATAAATAAAACATTACATATAAATGAAATATTAGCCAGATCTTCTAGTCAGGCTACTTTGGATTCGTTGGATATGACTCGATATTCAGAGGATGGAGCTGGCGTCGACGAAAGAGTAGCTATTCTTGAATTTGAATTACGCAAAGCCAAAGAAAATATTTCTGCTCTGCGTGCTAATTTGACTGTAGTAACAGGTATGTCTCACTTGAATGATCAAACATCTTTTAATTTATAATACGGTTTTTAATTAATAATACTTAAAATTTCAGAATTGGAGGGTACGTTGAAAACCCCAGACAAGAACTCTGAAAAAAATTTGGTTACTGAACTGCCCATAAAACCGCATGAACAACGAGCACTGAATTTTCTTATCAATGAATATCTGTTGGCAAGATCATACAAACTCACCTCGATCACATTCAGCGATGAATGCGAAGAACAGGATTTCGAGGACTGGCAAGATGTGGGGTTAAATATTCCCAAACCTACGGAATTGTTGCAGATATATCGAGAATACATGAGAGCCAACGGATATGACAAACTTCCATCTATAAGCGTTGCTGTGCAAACGGACTTTGTTATCGAAGATGTTGAGGAACAGAAGGATGAATCTTTGGAAATGGTTTGTTACTTTAATAAAACTTTAGAAGTGTTTAAATTCTGGATTGTTTAAATTTGCGAATTTTCTAAGAGCTCTATTTTTTTACAGGCTGAACAGATTGAAAGGTTACAGCAGCAAATTGCAGTGTTGGAGCAAGAGAAAAACGCTCTCCAGGAAGTTATTTCATCAAATAAGGAAATTGTTATAGAAAATCCGGTAAAGGTAAGCTAACTAACTAGTGCTCTCTTCTGATTTATAATTGATAACAATTGAAAAATTATACAATTACAGATTATAAATAACGATAATAAAAACGAATGCTTATTTGATTATAATATTCCTTTCTGTTCTTTTAAAAAATTGAGCTTTGAGTTTATTGTAATTACTGTTTTACTTATAGTCAGGTAGCTGTGGAACTATCCGTACCATTAATTCCAACTCTACAACTCCTGATAAGTTTGAACTACTTGAACCATTACCAAGAGATATGTCAACCACTACTCAGGAACCAGAGGAAGACGATAGCGTTTCTGCAATAGTTAGTCTGGATGAAACAGATCCAGGAGACAAAGAGTGGACCAGACTGCAGTTGCCTAGAGTAAATATTACAGAGAAATCCTCTGCCCTACCAACTGCATCCTCCAGGTTATTTTATGCTATTATACACATTTAATTTAATTTACATTAATGTTTGTAAAAACATTAATTTTTACAAACATTAATGTAATTTGTTTATTTAACTAGTCAAAGTTAATAATAAGCAAGTTGAGAAATAATATAAAAATAACATAAACTTTTTTCTAAGTTATAAAGAAATAATTAAATTAACTTGAAAAATACAAAGATTTTATTATATGAAGATTTTTAAGTATTTAAGATATGTTAATTGTACATTTGTGGACATTACAGAAATTTGCCGAGCAAATTCAAGTTGGAAATAGTGACACACTGCATGGCGAATGTTTCGGGATCATTAATATCCTCGATGGGAGAATCATTAAAGCATGGAATCACCCGAGATACATTAGTTGACATTTTAGCATATACTCTGCCACGTGTAGTACCCAACATTATCCTTAATAGACGCGAAGAAATTATTCCTCTGATCCTTAGTGCAATTCATCTCCATTCCAATTCCAGCGAGAGGGATAAGTTATTACAAATGCTATTCAACTTAAAGAAAAGACCGCAGGAGGATGAGCGACAAATGATATTAGCCGGTAAAAAATGTACAATTTAATTATTTTGATTACTAGACTTATTATAAATAAAATTCATTTTTTTAGAAAAGAAGTTGCATTTTCATAATTTTGCAATGTATAAAAAATACTTATAATTAACTTTTAACTAATTTTTCATTTATTGAATAAATCTATTGATGAAAGTTCATTTTTATGTCAGGTTTAATTGTCATGGCAAAGCTCGCAGAAGAGTCACTGGAAACGGAAGAAATTCTAACAATTTGTTGGGAACAAAGTCAGCACAAGTATCCAGAGAGAAGATTATTAGCTGTCGAATGTTGCTCTGTGTTGGCATCCAACACATCAGTTTCTATCAGAAATTCACTGATGCTGTCAATGTTGCAACAAATGTTATTGGAGGACAAAGATCCTGTCGTACGAACTAGTGTAGTGAAAAGCCTCGCGCTACTCATAGCTTTGATGGATGATCCTGATAAATACTTCCAAGTAAATATCTTATTTTATCCTATTTTTCTTTTTACATATTGTTTCGTTTCATTTTTATAAACTTATTTATATATAATGTTTATTACCTGAAAAAAAAACTTGGAAACCTTCAGGAAATTTTCAGGTCATTTCTTTCCCATATAGCATCCTTAATTTTATTTTTCAGGAAACTTTTTTTTCAAAATAAACACCTTGTTATATTTTGTATTGATACGTTATTACATAAAAATTGCAGTGCGAGGAATTGGTGTTGACAGCACTCCACGACACGTCGTCGATGGTTGTCGAGACAGCATCGTCGATATTATTACCGGTTTTGGCACAGTGGGCATTATCCCTGAGAAGGCTGCATTTAAACCTATTACCACGCATAATCTCGAAAGTTAAGAATCAGTTAAAGCCGATTCACTCCCAGACTTCGCCAAACAAAAAAGACTATGTCGACAAAGAGAAATTGACGCCATCGATCAGTATTTTGCAGTGCATCTTACCTTATACAGTCTTGTGCGTTGCCAATACTGATGCGGTGCGAGCCTGCATCAAAGATGATACGTCATCAGACTTGTGTGAGTTATTAGAAGAAGTAAATACAAAACAGGAACGTATATTTCAGTAATTGAAAGGTAAAATAAATGATAGTCAAGTAAAAAAATGGGAAAATTATGAAATTATGTTGAAATATTTCAAGATTTAAAAGTTTAGAAATTCACAAAATTAAAATTACATTAAATTTGAAATAAAAGTTAAAATTAAATTCATTGATTTGGAAATAAAAATTAAAAATTTAGAAAAATTTGACATCTACATGGATGCGAGTAAAATATATTGAAAGTATTTAAATATTTAAAGATTTTTTTGATGAAGAAATTTTATGTCACAAATATACATAAAAGGGATTTAAAATCCCAAAAATATTGTTGTAAAAAAAATTTTTAGTTTTTGTATAAAGCTCATAAGCTCGCACAAAAACAAAAGCACAAAAGTTTTCTAGAAACTTTGTGGTGCAGCCGAGGAATTTCTGGCGTTGTGTCACTCCAATATCATCGATCCGAGAATATTCTACGAGGATTCCATCGACGTGGGTGTCCTTCTCAATACCTTCTTTTCCAACTCTTGGGAGAACGCATCTTGGCCGGAATTAGAATGGTTTTCGAACAAATTGTAAATACTTTTTATTATTTTATTTCTATAAGATATTATTTCTATATTATTAAATAATTATATTAAAAATAATATTAAATAATTATATATTATTAAAATTATAAATTATTTTATAAAAATTGATTTCTTTATATCGTTCAATTATTTATTCGACATCTCAAAATGTGTTACAGCTTTAAAAAATTAAATATTTCTAATACGAATCTACAAAAGTTTATTTCTTTTTTAAGATATTGATTTCAAAGTGCTTTTTTTTACAGAGTAGTTGAAGTTTTGGATATGGTGAAATCTGTGGATGCAGCTCAAGAAAACGTTCTAAAAGCCCTTCTCACGTACATTTATTCATTGTGTGTGAGTTTTGGAAAATACATTACACCATCTAGGGTAAATATAAAATATCATTTTTATAGATAGAAATAGTATTAAAATATTTAATAACTCTAACGACTCAGATTTATTAAATTTTGAATTGTTTTTAAATTTTTTAGTTCTTATAGATTCTTCAGATTAGATAGATAAGTAGTTTCCGCGTTCTTGAATTTTTTTTAATTTTTAGTTTTGTACAATGTTTTTTAAAATATTAGCAATGCTTAAGAATTTTATGAATAAATATTATTTCAGATACAAGCAGTATTTTCTTTGGAAGTATTAGAACTTGAGAAGAAATTGACAGCATTATCAGTAGACAAGAAGAATATGAGCCTTCCATTGATCCCAAGTTACTTAGTGATTCTAAGTACTTCCGATTTCACGGAGCTCGCAAACTATTTCAAACAATTCCTCGTAGTTTTATCTATGAGCGGCACTAGTATATCTTGGTTGCAAATCGCAGCTAATATTTTATGCGGTCGTGAACAGACACAAGAATACGTGCTTTCTAGTCTATGGGATGGTTCGTATCTTTTTCTATTTTATATCTTCTTTCGCGTATTATTATCATTAATAGTTTTGTAAAAGAAATAGTGCCGAGTCTTATATAATAAATGAAAATATTATAAGACTTTAAAAAATCTTATTATTTTATATATATATGTTATATATTATATTACATTATATTATGTATATTAGCGAATATTTTAAATTTATATTTTCTTAGGACTGATATATTTCTATTATAATGTTTTACAGAATATTTTTGAATTATAGCAACAAATTTAAAGTTTCTCCTTCACAGGTGTAATGCATCAGAGATCCTCTGTAAGATGTGCAACAGCAACATTATTCGGTTCCATTATAGCGCACATTTCAGACCAACTAGCAAACGCCAAGATCGTACCAGCCATTGTAACACTCGCCAGCGATCCTGAAGTGTGAGAGATCCTTCTCTATTTATGCATGCATGTATCTAAAATTCCATTTCATTCTTTAACGTATTAGTTTCTTATAAAACCTTTATCATTTCAAAATCCTTAAACATATAATAAATCCAGCAATATAAATCGTATTATGAATCTAATAATATAGTTAAATTTTGTAATTTTACGTATTAGCATCCGTGTTGACTCTTACATGGCTTTATTTATATTGATACAAATTATTTATTTCAAAATATATATCATTATATATATCATTATATATATTTTTGAACAATATTTATATTAATATTTATATTAATATTTTTCATTTTGTGCAATAATCGAATAAATATCTTTAGTGATGTGCGTTGCGCTGCAATCTCTACGCTAGGCCGTATAATAACGGAATGCAAGGTGAGAGAGGCACGTGATAAAGGACGTTTAACATTGGAGACAATCGCGAAGGATCCTCAAGAACTCTCTCAAACTTTGGCAACATCATTAGTATCCACGTTTGCAGTCATCGCTCCTACTTGTCCGCAGAATTATATAGAAAACAGTACGTTCTGTACAATATATATATTTTTTATTTAATGAGAAATACACTCTTAAACATAAAAGAATGGGATACGAATTTTCTATCATAATTTTAATAAAAAATTGCTCTTATTATTAAAATTTTATTATTATTATATTGAGCTGTTGTTAATTACAGTAATAGCAATGCACTTATCGACGATTGCATCGTTCGCGCTTCAGCAGAGCCATAAGATTGAATTGATAAATGCGTTGGTAGAAGCATACTCTGTGCTGGTTTACTGTCCGTTAAGTAGTCAATGCGTTTCCGGAGTAGTACTACCGGGGTTAAGGCATCTTGAGACATTAGTAAATCAACGTCTACCTCAGCAAAGAGATGCAGTGCGTTCTCTACTCAGAGAAGCGGAGTCCAAGCAAGATCTATCAAAGCCGATAGACAGGTATTGAATAAAAATAATTTTAAATTATGTGTAAATATATTTAATTGTGTTTGTAATAAATCATAAATTAATTGTAAATAACTATATACGTACAATAACAAATGAAAAATTTTTTATTAAAAATAAATATAATTTTATACTTTATTACTAATTGTAATCTTTAAATCTGGTTGATTTTTGATATCGTTGAATATTTTTCTAAAAACATTACACTCATTAATTAAAAGATTGCAATATTTTTTTCGATAACACATAAAATGTTTGTAAAAACATTTGTAAAAAGTTATTCTCACATCAGGACACCCTCGAGTTCCGGACTTTCCCTGTCGATGGCGACGGTGAATGTCGGTCAAGGTGTCGAGGACATGCGTCAGAGGATGAGCAAGATTTTTCAACATAAAACCGGATCACCTAGCATACCGAATATTTTCCGCAAGAAATAAACTACTCTTTGTCTTATGGCGAAATCATGACAGAATCGAGTGTCACGTCGGTGAAAGGCTCGCAAGAGCAATCAATAAGGTTGTTATTAGACATAAATGTATAATGTTGTTTTAACGAATGTTAACTTATTTTTTTATTGCGCTAGCTTTGTAAGTGGACATGTAAATTATTTTGTTTAAATATTAACACGATCTAAGGAACTCGGAGATGAAGAATATGAACGTTTTTCATGTTTGATAAAACTCAAATGTCCATTCAGTCGGTGTCCGCTTTTTCAGCATCTGACATTTTCCTGTTCACTTTCCGATGATTCTCACGCAACTATCTATACTTATGGCCTTATTGCAATCTTTCATATTTTATAATAATAAAATAGCGACAAATTATCATAAATTCAACGGATATTATCAAAGTTAAGTAATTTTGTTATACGATTAACGATTAACATATGCCATTTATAAAAGAGGAAAAGTTCTGACAACAAGTTCTGACAACAAATGTTCGATAATAATTATTAAAAATGACAGAATAGAGTCAAAATTTATGCCTGTTTATCACTACCTCAGAAACAAGAAAATAGATAACAATAATCCCTGTAAAATATAACAAAACGGAAATATGTTTTAGTATGTACATATATAAGTCTGTGGTTTCAATAAGATAAACTTACAAAACTACAGATTTATACAAGTCTGTGGATAGAATTTGTAAAAAAGATAGTCTTGCATATAATGCATAAGAAAATGAATCAATTAAAATCTTTTATTTTTTTCTTTTCTTATGAAATAAAAATGATTAATTTTCTTATGCGTTATGCAAAGGTCTGTGGAAATGAATTCCGTCACAAAATTATGTATAACTAGCGAAATGAATTATGTACACAGTTATGAAACTATCAAATTAATAATATAGAAATAAATACACAACCAATAGGAAATAAAGTCCATAGATCAAAGCTTTAGTGTTTAAATCGTTCGGTATGAATGTATACTACGTATCAAAAACTCTGCACTGAATTTTAAAACATTATACTGAATTTTAAAACAGATAGAAGTACTGCAATATCATGTTAAATTATCTAACAATTTAATAATTTGATATTCATAGGCATCTTATAAAGATCTTAATGATACTTATTAAACATATTAAAATCTGTAAATATTTTATTCTTTATAGGCTTTATTTTCTTATTGATTGTGTATTTATACATATCAATCCAGTAAGATTCTTGTATATAGAAATTAATATGATTAATTTCTTTTCAAAATAAAAAGATAAGAAAGTTTTGATATTTTTTATAAGTTTTTATATTCTATCGATGCAAAATTTTATTGAAAAAATTTTCTATTGAAATATATTTCGCAAGAATTTTTATAGTTTTCTCGCTTCTGAGGCAGCAGTGATGAGTGGCCTTAAAAACAAAGAAAAGAGAGAGTAGATTCAAAATGCAGCGATTAACAGTAATTAATGTTTAATTTCGAAATCTGTCACTTTACATAGTAATAAACAAACGTCATAGATCATATCATATATCATATCATATATATCGCATATCATATATATATAATACACAAGTGTTTTCCTCGTAGAATAGTTTACAAAATCAGACTTTCTAGGAATACACATCCTGTTGCGTCCTTCTCTTGCTCCGGTTCTGTTTTCTTCATATTCTTTTTTTTCTTTTTATATAATCACAGCTTATCCTGATGCGCCAACGAAACGTTGCTATTGTATTTTTTTCTTTCCCTTTTCAGTTTGATAATTAATCGACATAATCGTCGGAGAGAGTTTTGCCGCAATGTGCTTGATCCCGATGGACAATTACGGGATCAAAGTACGTTTCATTATCTCTCTCTTCTCTCCCACACACACACACACACACACACACACACACACACACACACACACACACACGGTGCAATTTTCTGTGAACTCTCACCGTTATGCGCGACGCCGATTTATCGGAATTTTTTTCGAATTAATTTAAAAAAAGACCTGATCTCTTCTCGGAGCGGATTTGAACCCGGGCGGATTTGAAAGCTCGATCCGCTAAGACTAAATCTCTTGATTTCAGCGGCTATCAAAATCACATAAATAGCACACAATTAGCCGTATGCACTTAAATTAACGGGTAAAGTACTTTCGCAATATCTTACTAATTTCTCTCTCTCTTTCTCTCTCTCTCTCTCTCTCTAACTCATTTAAGATTCAAAAGACGCTATTAATCATACAGGCCCAATATTTATTTTTCTTTCGTACCATCTCTCTCCCGCAATTAATATCTATAGGTAATATAGATCTCTTGGTCTAATTTTCATTAGCCAACTACAATTACATCACGCTCTTTGTTTCCGCGTGCACATGTAGCAATAGCGGAAAGCAACAGACGCGTACACGTGAAGATAGAGAAGGACAAAAACGGAAAACATAGAACCAAAGAACCCGTGTTAATTCAAAGAAAGGATATTGGATTGGAGGTCGTCTCTGATAGAACGTTAAAGAGTCGTTCGCGCGTGTATCAACAAGGGCGCGCGATTACGCGATTTGCTAATTTTTCACCCCCTCCCCCCTCCCCGCCCGAATTCCTTTACGAATCCGCGATGCGAGAGTCAACGGCGCAAGTCTCAATGTAGAATCATGAAACGCACATCGCGACATTACATTACGCACACATACATCAACGTATGTATAATATATAATTAATGCTTAGTCTATCCCGTTTTTTGTGTGTGTAGTAGTATACACATATGCATATATAATATATATACATTGAATAGATTTTACTACATCGTTGGAGAGTGGAACCGTAAAGCGGAACCGCATCCCGGAGAGAACTGCAATATATATATATATATATATATGTATATATATATATTTATAATCTATATATCGCCTCTCGTATATTATATCCTTAATAAAACGCGCTTTAGGACTTGCCTAAAGCACAACGTGTGCGAATTGAAACGATCCACATATCGCCCCAATCCGGCGTTTCCGCTTCATCGACGATCGACGATTGATCATTGAATCATTTTCTCTGGCGCATCCGCTACTCCTCTCGGACGACGCGCTTCGCGGATACAGAAACTGGAGGATATACAATATATCTTTCTCTCTTTTTTTCTCTCGCAGAAATACACAGCGGACGACAAATATTACGTTAAGTGATTTCCAGAGAATCGCCCGGTGAAAGATCATTCCTCGGAATTTCTTGGTTCTTACCGACTTCCTAGGAAAATTCCGCATCGATTCCGCATGACGAATTCACGAATCACCGTGAATCGGGAATCCCGCAACTTTTCCTCTTCGAATTATCTGCGTTTTCTTTTTTTAATTTATTATTATCTTAAACGTTGGACTCTCTCTCTCTCTCTCTCTCTCTCTCTCTCTCTCTCTCTCTCTCTTTCTCTCTCGTATAACTGGAGTCTTCAGTCTTTCCTACGAGTGCCTGTTAAAACGTCTTGAAAATTGTTAGTGTTTCGCCGATCGTCGTTGTATCTTAACAGTAACAGCGCATCATCAGATGTATCTTTTATTGTTATCGATGTATCTTTCTTAACGAAAACGATGAATCTTAGGACTACCAATCTTTTTTTAATCACTCTCTACGAGGGTCCTGATCTTTAATGATTTCTGATTCTCAAGTAGTTGAAAAATATTAATACGAGAATTTGAAAGTGTTCAATACATATATATGTATATAGTCTCCGTATAAGTGGCCATCACTTTTTATCTCGTAAACTAACAGAGATATATCTAATAAATAATATCAAATTAAATGGTTCTAAACGCTACTGCAAGCACAGTAGTCACTTAGAAAAATTATCTATGTTAGAAAACAAGGATATGCATAACTTTTGCACGATAAAATAGATATTTTGAAATAAATTTTATAAGAGTTGTTTGTCGATTCTAACAAATACAATGATTTATGATAAAACAAAATTATTTTACAAATTATACAAATTATTTTGATTTAAAGTTTTGCAATTACTACCTGCTCAATTTTTGCCCTGCGACGTGGCCAATTTCTAACTTTTGCATTAACGATTGACGTGTTAATATTATTGTCATCCGATCAATGCGAGAAAGGTGGCCACAAGGTCGAAATTGAGAAGGTACTAGTTGCCTGCAAAATTTTACAACGAAATATTTTGTTGTCATAATATAAATTTTTGTATGATCACCTACAATAGAGTTTAATTAGAACCATTTAATTTATTATTAGATCTCCGTTAGTTTACGTCGTAAACTTTACAAGACGAAAAGGGATGGTCATTTATGCGGGAACATCCTGTATATATACAAATATATACATTATATACGCACATACACATATACAGGGAAATGCGTAAAGGCTTGTAACGCTTAAAGATAGATTCCTGAGATCATTTTGAGACGAAAATCCTAACATCAAGATGTCGAGACTGTAATAGTTCCTAAATCATAAGCATTTAGTGAATTAAAGTTGGCACGTTCAAGTGTGATACATGCGCGAACTGTAGACAATACGATTCGTTAACTTTAAGAGCGGTATACATAGTCCGTTCTTATTTCAAGATTGTCTTAAGTAATGTCTTAAGACGCTAATACGGCCTTTTGTTGATTGGTCGATTTCTTAAGACTGTATTTAAGATGATCTTGAATATAAGATTTGACTATGAATACCGGCCTAAATGTTTACAAGTCAATATTATTCAAAAACATTTTGGTATTAGAGTCGTTTTTTAAAATTATCTCAGAAATCTATCTTTAAGAAATATATGGTACAGTTTTTATGGGATATCCTGTATATAATATATGTACAATATATGTATACGTATATATATATATATATTTTTTTTTCAATGCACACGATCAGCTTTATTAATTCCAAAAAAATCCGCAAGAATCCAGGGGAATGTCTTTCCATCACTGTGTATATACGATTCTCTGAGAGTCAATATTTGTCTGACATATCATTTATTTGATTTATTCAACTCAATATTAACAGAAACAGCTGACAATCCTATTTCGAAACGCCCTGTGTACGTGTGTATAAATGAAACGGCAGCATCGTAAGTTCAAAGTATAGCAGTATGTACGTCGACACAACGTTATCTTGTTGCATCCCATTCGAGATCGATTTTTCATCCTTTTTATACCTTTCTTTATACTTCTTTTATACCATCTTTATATATATATATATATCTTTTTTTTTTCGTTACATTTCGTCAAATCTCGCAAACGCGTATAATCAATAACAACTAAATAAATATATAACATATACACACACATATATATATATATATATATATATATTTATTTGTTAATGTCTCCCTATCTCTCTTGCATCCTTTTTCTCGTTTTTTTTTACTTTTATTATGTGTCTGTGTGTGTACGTGTGTAGGTACATATGCATCATCGTAACACCTAAAGCCAAAAGCTCCTGCTTATAATAATAATAATAATAAAATAATGATAATATAATAGAGCAATCAAATAGTACTAATTAATATTAATAGTGGTAATAGATAATCAATAATATACAACATACTTTGAGGCACTTAAATGCGTGCTCAATTAGTCGTCTCGATTCTCGCAATACTAACTACTCCGAATTAGCAAATTCTCTCGCGCACATTTTTCATTCTCTCCTTTTCTCTCTCTCTCTCTCTCTCTCTCTCTCTCAGCCGAATAAAAACGTGACCCTAAGATTTCTCAATGCACCTCATGATCCAAGGGTCAAAATAGAAAGAATAATCTAACAAAAAAATCGCGACACAGCGGAGAGTATAATGGGCGGTTAGTTAAAAAAGGGGGGCGGGGGTCGAGTTTCACGCAGATCGGAAGTGGCCGCTCCCGATAGTCTCCGAAATCGACGATGACCATCGTGATAATGCTTGTTCGCGGTGCTCACTCGCAAGCAACTGTAGACGAAAAAGTCGGAAGAGTAACGGAATCACACTTAGACAATTGAAAACTGAAAAAAAAGATGAATGAAATTGAAAAAGCTCGGAGAACAAGGATGGAGTCGCCCATCTCAACAAAACAACGTAGAAGTCTCAAGAAATTGTCACTAAATCGAGTACAACATAAATCTCCTTTAGAGATTTACACGTTGTCGAGATGGACGGAAGATTGGGCACAAATTAGTGGCGATCGAGAGCTGGCGTGGAATTGTAAAAAGAAAAAAAAAGGAAAAGGAAACTCGAGAAGAGAATGAGATTGTTGAAATAAATTGATGCAAATCAGAAAGATATCTAAAAAAATTAAAAGCAAATTTTTCAGAGATTCACTGGAAATGGGCAAGAAAAATTAGATGAAAATCGTGGTGGTGATGGGATATGGATGAAATTGAGATGGAATCCATGATGAGGTTTTGAAGTGCAAAACTCCGGAAGAAGGTCCTCGGAAGAATCCGAAAGAACTCTTGGAACTCGAGGATTTGAATTGAAAAATTCGAGCAGCGAAAGTGAATTTAAATCCACTTTAAACGTTAGCACGCCTAAAGTGGATCTTACAAATTGAGGAATAATCAAGACGAGATATACACGTGTAAAAATATCTAATAAACTGATGAGGTGTGTAAAGGCGAATTATATATGTTAATTCCGTTTAATTCCGCGCTCATTTTGTTACGTAATGCATATCTCGAGAGACTCGTCAAGCACATCGTAATATACATTCTCTAAGAATTTAATTCATCTTTCTTTTATAACATGCTTACACGTCTCGTACATTACAACACGCAACGTGATGCTATACACACACACATCATTGCTAACGGTATTAAGATATTAATTGAATCATAATTACAATTAAATTGTAAAAACAAGCACAATTTTTAGAAAAAAATGCACTAACAATGTCTTTCAAGATCATTCCTCAACTTGTTCTCTTCATCCTTGTTGTAATTTTACAGATACGGTATCACCGCCGATTTTCTCGCGACAAAGTTTCTCACACTCTTTAACCGCATAAAACACGAATTCGTATGCTTCTCGACCGTCCTCCTCCCTCACCTCCTCCTCATCATCATTATTATTCATTATCGGTATATAACAATTCATTAACCATGCATAATCTCGTACACATCATTGTAACCTCCTCCATTTACAAAATACAATCTCTCCGTTCCTCTCTCATTATTTTGAATTTCTTTCTTTTTGCGTAAAGGATGAGAAATGTGGAAGAGAGCGGAATTTCTTTCTGGGGAATTCCACATCGCTTGCCACTTGGCGAGAATCTCAATCTTGATTTCGGCGTCCACTTCGTTGCATGTTTCGGGAGATTTCGTCAAGCAAAGTGCTTTTTTTGGCACAAATATATATATGTATATATATCTAATAGACATGTGTTTTATTCCGGTTATAACATTAGTATTACGGCCCTGCACGCGTGAAGGAGGGGCGGGGGGAAGGGGTTTTCCCTTTAAAAGAGTAATATAATCTTATCTCTTTAACGCGTTTTTTACAAGCTAACAAATATATACCTCAATCACAGAACCAAAAACGATATATAACAATACTCTTCTCTTGCGCGATGTACCGGGTGATCGGGAAGCCGCGCAGCCGTACGCTTGGTGCTGTCGAGAGAAAAACCGCTTTTTTCCTTTCTTTAAAATGCCGTCAGTAACTCACTCCCGCGTTTATCCGAGGCATATTCTAGACAATTATTTATCTTATACCTTGAATTTTTTAATTCGCAAATTCTTTAGATCTATACATATACATATACATATATATATACATATATATATACACATAT